GCACCAGAGAAAAAAATGGAACCTGTTGTTTTTGAGAAAGTGAAAATGGTAAGTGGGAAGGTATTTGCATTGTGTGGATGGCCTCAGGTGTGTTTGTGTGTGCGGTGGAGTAGGGTGGGGTTGATAGCATATTGCACCATTGCCCCTGGGGCTAAAGGGTTCTACATTTAGATTAGATCGCCTGCTGCCATTTCTGCTTCTGTCCCATTCTTATTGTTGCCTAATCTGCCCTGTAACACTTCTCTTTGGGGCCACATGGGAGCTTGGGAACTGCATCTGTCCCATTTAAGCAAGAGGCACGTTCCATGCCAGGATGCCAAGGCCGTGTGACACCTTCTGAGCAGATACTATGTCCACATCAGTCCTTCTCTTGTGAGACCTTCTGTACCTCATTTCCTGTTGCAGTTCAGAGCAGTCCAAAAGCCAGGCCATATTAATCCATTTTAAACGATCACTTCTTATTTTCTTGCTCTGTCACATTGAAGTAGATACCTTTCTCTTTCCACAGGACAAATTGTGGCTATAGTAGTAGATACTGTAGTATAAGAGCTTAGAATCTTGCAAGAGGGGACTTTTTATTATTTGCCTAAGGAAGAGTCTTGTATCATCATTTTGAATCACACTGTCTGCAGAACTAGTGATATTGGCAGAGTGAATTAGGCAATCTTTAAACTGATCTCCCTTTTGATATTAAAGGTTTTCTAATCACTGGGAGATTTGTTGGCTCTCGGCTCTTGCACCATCGGACTCCGTACCTTTATTCTTGGTTTTTTCATGGAACCAAAAACTGCTACTTCTGTTGGATGCCCTGATCTGTGGTTGTGTTGGTTTCAGAAAGATCTGTCTCTTCAGAAAGCCAAACAAACACAGACGATATCTTTGTTTTTCGCTTTAGGTTTAATGTATGCACTCGTGCCTCCTGACTTGAGTCTCTCACCTGACACTTCCTGAGTTTTGTTTCTTTGGTAACTCTCTTTGAATAACAGCAATCATACCACAAGAATATCTGTGGCTTTACAGTGGAGAGGGGATAAAAGGGTTCAAAACACCTGCTTATGTCTTCCTATAACATATTTTCACCTTAGCCACAGAAAAAAGAAGACCCACAGCTACCTCGGAAAAGCTCCCCGAAATCCACAGCACCTGTCATGGATTTGTTGGGCCTTGGTAAGAGTTAGACTTTTCCACTCCCATAATCTTACAAGTTTTGCTGAATTCTCTCTGATCCTGGGAAGATAGCTAGAGACGGGAGTCTTCAGTTTGTGCCTTTGTCACTAAGATTGTTCTCTGATGTTCTTCCTGTTGTTTTACATCTGAGCACTTGTGCTAAGGAGGTGTTTACTGTGCCATTTTCAGAGTGACAGTACAGTGTAGTGGTTAAGAGCATGGCCTTGGGAGCCAGAGTCCCAACTCTGCCACTTACTGTTATGTGACCTTGGGTAGTTCAGGTAACCTCTGAGCATGACTTTCGTGCCTGTGCAGTGAGGATAAGAGTCTCCAATTCAAGAGTGTTGTTGGAACGATGAGATGAGATGATGCCTCTAACACTCTTAGCTCCTTGCCCTGCACACACTAAGCACTCAGTAACTATGTTAGCAATTTGCACAAAACCAGCACCTGTGAGCCCCGCCCCCATCCCTCTCATTTTTCAGGTGCCACCTGTTTCTGAGATGGCCGCTTACCTTGTCGTCATTTTTCTCTAAGCCTTTGAAACCCTGAACTAGTGATTCTGCCCCTTTCAGAAATAGAGCCTGTTCTTTACCTTTCACAGTACTGATGGTTGTACTTTATTTCAGTCCATTNTACACACACATATATACATATATGAATTTTTTTCCTATAAGTGAAGCCAACAAAATTTGGTGGAATTAAGTCACCAGAATTTCCTTCATTCTGACTAGTGTACATTTCCTGTGTGTCGATGGACAGATTGCCAGTGGCACCCTTATTTCTGACAATGCTTTTAGAAGGAAACTGCCAGTTGCCAAGTACATTTTCCTAGGCATGAAGTTAAAATCTGAAATACAATGTATGATAACTAGGACAAGTATAACATACAGGAGGAAATACAACACGGTTTTCTGGAAGAAGAATATAAGCCTGACTACTGACAACTAAAGGAGAACCCATAAATATGACTATTTAGACCTTTACAAAGGCTTTGACAAGATTCTACAGTAAATTCATTTCGGAATAATTGACTATTTCTTGAGCCACAGAAGTATAGAGTATGGGATTCTTCAGTTCTAGCATGGGTCCTGTTTTTCTGTCTCTGTCTGTCTGTCTATCTCTATCTACTTATCTATCATCATCTATCTATCATCTATCTAGTTATTTATTTTAATGGCGGATGCGCTAGCCAGTGAAATCACTAAGTTTAGATGGGAGTCTAAGCCCTCCAGGTAATTTAATGTTAAGCTAATTGGAAGCAACTCCAAATTGATCTTTTGAGGTTGTGCGAAAAGGCATTAACTGTTAGGTGAATTTCAATACAGGCAAGTAATGGGCCGGCCGAGTGGCTCAGTTGGTTAAGAGCTCGCTCAAGAGTTTGAGCTCTGAGCAACAGCGGTTCGATGCCAGCCCGAGTTGAGCAGCCGCTAAGCTACCAATAGGTAGCAGGATGGCTCAGCTAAAAAAAAGAAAAAAAAATACAAGCTCAATACAGGCAAGTAAGTGCAAGGTAATACATGTAGTTAGGGAAAGATAATTCCTTCTCAACTTCCTATGAAGGACTCTTATCTCATAGTCATCCAGAAAAGGGACCTGGAAATTATCATAACTGTTCCAAGAAAGTCTAACCCAGTGTATAGCTACAGGTTGGATGGCATC